TATTATTTTCTTCTTTTAATTTATTATTATTATTACTATTATTTTCTTCTTATTATTATTATTATATTTATTATTATTATTACTCTTATTATTCGTCTTATTTTATTTATTTATTATTATAATTGTTATTCTCTTATTATTATATTCTTCTTATATTATTATTATTATTATTTTTATTATTATTACTTATTATAATTATTATTATTATTGTATATTATTATTATTATATTATTATTCTTATATTATTCTTCTTATTATTATTATTCTTCCTTTATTATTATTATTATTACTATTATTATTATTATTATTATTATTATTATTATTATTATTATTATTATAATTGTTATTATTATTATTATTAGGATAATTATTATTATTATTATTATTTTTTTTTTTTTATTATTATTATTATTAATATTATTATTATTATTATTATTATTATTATTATTATTGTTATTATTATTATTATTATCATTATGTTTATTGTTATTATTATTACGTATACTGTTATCATTATTATTATTATTATTATAGTTAAAAATTATCCAACTACTTGATTTTATTGAAAATCTCCGTCCACTACACCCAGCTATAGCCTGAAGTTCGAAACCCGAACCTTGTTTAATATGAAATTTTAGAAACTCATATTTTCAATTAGTTACGCTTTTCCCCCGTTATCGCATATGTAGTCTTTTTATTCATCCCCCAATATCATATAATAAATGCATATATAATCTGTTTTGAGGATGATCCAACTAGCCATAAATCCTGTGTTAGACTCTGCTGCACATTTCTATTATCCCTATCCTATCGAAAGGACAATTGGCGTCCATAAACTATAGGTCTATCGAACTACTATACTACAAGCTTGGAACATGATCCATCTTATATATAATTAGATAGTATAATATTATAACATAATACTATATTGTATGAAGTATCTCATATTACTCTATATATATTTTGATATTAATTTTCTTTTGTAATATACTAAAGAACAAGAGTCCGGTCGCGAATACCAGACTATTGTTCGGATATAGTTTTGTAGTAGTAGAATGCATTGGCGAAAAATCTAAAAAGATTGGAAGTTTTAATAGATTGGCAGCTTGTAACTATATCCTGTGCATATAACAAACATGATGAACATGATGTTCCATGCGGATGAAGGATATTTGTTTAATTATTTTCCGGACAAAAATAGATCCTCAAGGCTAAATTAACTGTATCAATATTTTGGGCACATGTTAGTATTAGATATGTGTCCTGTGCCCATTTAATGTGGTTAAAACGAGGGGTGTGTCCGTTGTTGTGCAGAATTAGATAACAGGCGGAAGGAGGGTTCTCTGGACAATGCTAGCTCTGCCAGGATAACTTTCAACAGCCATCGGCCGTGCCGGGCTGGTAAGCTTTGATCCTTCTTGGTTTGGTTTGGTTTTCCTTTCGGTTCTATTTCGTTTCACGTTTGGTTTCTTTTTCATAGATTGCAACTCAGGCGCAATTTACTTTTGTTGAGATACTTTAGCATTTTGCACGCTTTGTATTGTACCCTGTGCTCGTGAGTATGCCTCACCTGCTGCCTAGCCACGCCCACTAATATGCGGTACACCCGCCCGTGCCCCCTCTTCGCCCCTTGTCCAAATGCAGGCCCTACTACGAGACGCGCGCCAACTACAATGGACTGCTGAAAGCGCAGAAGCTGCGCGTCAACGAGCTGGAGACGCGGGTCAGCGCGGCCAAACTAACCTACAACGAGGCTCTGAAGAATCTGGAGCAGATCTCCGAGGATATACACAGGCAGCGACAGCAGCGCAACAATCTGCTCAACTACGAGGCAATGCTCCGGCAGGTGGACGCCGTCGATGCGCTCACAGCGGGCGTTACCCGGCAGCAGCAGCCGGAGCCGGCAGAGTCGGAGCAGGAGCAGGAGCAGCTGGAGGATGAGTATCTGCGCATGCCGGAACGATTGGGCAGCGGCGCCAGCTCGCCGCGCCAACGTCAGGCCGATCCGCATGACTGCCCGCATCTGCTGCATGACTTCGAGGCGGTACTGACCTTTCCACAGAAGCTGGCCGGTGGCATGCACAAATCGGCCAGCACCAGTGCCACGGATGGCGACAACAATCTGTTCGCCCAGGCGCAGGGTCTGCACGGTCCCTACGAGGTGAAGCCGCGCTCCGAGTCCGGCAGTAGCTCACTGGCATCGGCGTCGGCTTCAGCGTCGGCGTCCGTCTCGACGTCGGCGCCGCCAGCGGACAACGACATCGATCAGTGGACGGAGATACGGTTGTCGCACTCGGACAGCACCAGCTCGAGCTACTCGAATCAGTCGCTGCTGGAACAGCACGGCCTGGATGGAGCCGGCAGCGGTGGCGGTCATGGGTTGGGCTACGGCCTGGGCAGCCTGGAGCCGGACGCGCAATCGCAGCACTCGACCTCATCGTCGGATGAGCCCAAGCGCAAGGTGACCTGCACTACCATATTTCAGGACGACAGCAGCGCCATCGGCATCGGCATCGGCCAGCAGATGAGTCGCAAGCAGAGCCTCAGTCAATGGCTGTCGCGCTCGAACAGCTTCAAGACGAGCGGCCGCCGGCAGAGCCTCGATCTGCTGATCGATGCCGGCGACAAGGTGAAGGATGTGTTCAGCTATGGCTTTCAAAAGGTCGGACGGACTCTGGAGCGGCGCAACAGCGAATCCGAAATGGCCAGCGATGGCGGCGAGGCGGATGCCTTGCTAGCCTCAACAACAACAACAACAACAACAACGACGACGACGTCGTCGACAACGACAACGGCGGCAGCAGCAGCAGCAGCAGCTATGAATGTATCCAATAACAGCAGCAGCAGCGCCGGCGATTTCTTTCTATTTAGCAGGTCAGTAGATGGCAATGGTCGCAGCAGCGGCGCCGGCAGCGGTGGCAGCAGCCTACTGTGCGCGCTGCAGAATCGTCTGACAAAGCTCATTTGATCTGATCGGTGCCACAGGAAACAACTCGATAATCGATAGTCGATAACCGATAATCCGATTTACTGCTAAACTGCTATTCAAAATTCAAACTGCACCCACTCTATCCAAAAAAAAAAAAAAAAAAAAAAAACTACAAACTTCAGCTACTACAAGAACTAATCAGCTACTGCAACTAACCAAATTCCTCATGCTCGAACAAAAAACGAATTGGCTGCTTTGATTTGGTGCATTTGCTCTTTGAAACACATTCCATTACAACCACAACAACAACAACAACAACAACAACAACAACAACAATAACTATCTACAACAACATCAACTACTATAACTACAACTAACATCATTGCACGCACGCACGCTTCTACTAAAAAAAAAAAACAGAAAACAGAAAACAAAAGTCAAAAATCTACTCTTAAAATTTGTATGTACTGCAAATATTTAATTTATATCTGTTTGTTTATGTGTGTGTGTATGTGTGCTTGTGTGCATTTTGGCGCCATGAAATAACTTGTACATAACGTAATTATTTTCAATCACTTTTTGAAAATGTATATAGAACGTATACAGTTTATACAATTCAATTCTTTTGATGTTATATTTAAAATCAATTTAATTCATTGTTGCAGTTATTTCACGGAGCCAGGCACCTTTCAGTGTGACCATCTTTATTTTTCTTCGATCCGTCTCAGCATTTTTCATCACTTTTTGCTTTAAACTTCAATTTTCTGTCTCTCTTACACGCTTTTTGCGCTCATTCTGTCTGTTGCCTTGGCTATCTCTTTTGTATGACACAACTACAACAGCAACAACTACTTTACAGATCCTCAGAACCCAAAGAATTACTATCCGACGAGCAGGTTGAGAATTTACTGTTGAACCACATGGTTGATGAGCACGGGGTCATCATAGTGGAGGAGTTGAAGTCCCCAACTGCTGCAACAAGAACAACAACTAGCATGTATCACCCACAGCAACAACCACAACAACAACAACAACAGCATCATACGTTAAGCGTAGCGGGCGCTGCGCGTGCTGCTTTATTGTTTTAAAATCCCACATCTTAACTGTACTTAAATCTGGACCTGCTGCGCGAATAACCATGAGACCATTTCAAGCAATTAGTAAGAGGCGTACATATCACACGACATCATAGACCCCATTGAGCTGATGCATTGAAAGGAGGAGGTAGGTGGATCTGAAAAAGCCCCGCCCAATCTTTGATATGTTTTGTTGCTACGCATAGTTTTTGGCTATGTTTTAATCCTAATATGTGCAATAATGTTGTTTAGCGTACAAAATCAAAAGCAAAAAAAAAAAAAAAATACAAAGTTACATTTTATGCTGTTCAGAAAAGCAATTAACAAACGCTAGTCCTAGGCGAAAAGCATACAAATCAGTGAGAGGAGGAATATATTATTAGCAAAAACCATTTAAAAGAGATAAACCATAAAATACAAAATAATTATAGAAATTATACAAAGTACGTTATAAATATACATACATATTGATATTGACATACACTGTCGCCAAATAAGTTTTACCATGACAAGAAACTTTTTTATTATTGGAACTGGGCATGGGACTCGATTTGTGTGTGTAGATTGGTATCAGCGCACGTTAATACAAACGTGAGAATTCCATTAAGTCGTAATTTAAATCGGCGAATCATTTTGCGCGTATAAATAATCGTGATTATATCGATAGCGAAGCACGTCGACTTGCTATCGATGATTTCGACGGCACTAAAGTTCTCAGCTGTGCAATTATTTACCACACTGGCAATAAAAAATACAGCAGTTTGTGCAACAGCTGTAGCATGTAAACAGATCATTGTTATCTAAAAATGAGGCAGTTAGCATAATGTTAGCTAGTTAATTATTAAAAATTGTATTTTTTAATATACTTGAAACTGCGCCTCGAATTGAACTAAATTGAATTGGTATTTTAAATACATTTTGCGCCTTAAGCATATATCGATATCAACTATCGGATAATTGTCCATCTCCACTGTAGCCGATCTCCAAGAAATTCCAAATAAAAGCAAAAAGCAATCTGCTGCCAATTTTAGCAACAACAGCACATTTCACTCGACTGCATCACGCAAAATGAACGTGCTTCCGGTGCTGCTGCTGCTAGTGCAGCTGACAGCCATGGTGCTGGCAGGAACTAATGAAACCGCAACTGGTAGCCCAGCTAGCTCCAATGTGACCAAACTGGCAATGGTTAGCCCAAGCAGCAAAGCAACTGCCATGGATGCAGGTGCAGGTTCCAGTGCAACTGTAATTGCAGCCACAGGTAATGTAAAAGTGTGCAAATCAAGCTTTATTCTACTAACTCCACGGCGGTAGCCAACCAATTGCAAGTGGATAAGGACAAGCCGGCCAAGGTCAACGGCACGGAGGAGCATGCCGTGGTGCTTGCGCGCGGCGTTACCAATACGGATACCGCCACAGTGCAAGCGACACCAAAAGCGAACGCAACAACAACAACAACAACAACGACGACGCAAGCACCACAGGTAATCAAATCAACAGCAGCTACGGCGATAACAAAGCAAACAAACACATCGGCCAAGTCAGACAAAATGCTGGCCGATGGTGTATCGCTGAGTGACATCAACAAGAACAAGAAGGAGAATAACAACAGCAGCAGCAGCAGCAGCACTATCACGACGCCAGCAGCTAATATCAATGCCAGCGCCAGCAACAGCAGTAGCAGCAGCACCACGACCACGACCACCACGTCAACAACAAGGAGCACAACAACTACAACCAGCACAACCACAATGCGTCCCAAAAAGCCCACCGTCACAAGCAGTATGGACAAACAGCTGGAGGGTGAAAAGCTGGATGCGGCTGCCACAGGCGCTGGTAACGTTGCACCACACGTTCTGCCCGTGCAGGAGCTGAGCAGCAGCTTGACCAATCGCGGCGAGAATGAGTATATTGTGCCCATTGTAACAATAATGCTAGCTGTGCCACTTGCCATAGCCGTATTCATCATTATGTACCGGCGCTTTCGGGATTTGTGGACAACACGCCATTACAGGCGCATGGACTTCCTGGTGGACGGCATGTACAACGATTGACGAAGGCGCCAGCAGCAGCAGCGGCCCGGCAACGGAGCTGCCAGCGGCGGTGGAGGGGCTAGTGACGGTGTGGGCTGTTTATCAATTGCTGCCACGCGGCTGCCGTAGCGCAAGAGAATTTGATAAAGCAAAGCAAATGATTGGAAAGATAATTAGTTGTTAAGTTTATTATTATGATTATATTTCTTATTTTGCATGGAATGCAAACAGAACAATTGCGCGAGCAGGATAGCTAGAGGAATGTGTGCAAGGGGCGAGAGAAAGCGAGAGGGAGAGAGAGGCACTGGCTAAATATACACATTGCTCAGTCAATTAAAACATTGAGAAAAACACTAGATGAAATGTTTATGTAGATGTGTATACGCGCGTGTGTGTACACACATGCTGCATTAATATGTGTTAGCTTTAAAACGCAATAGTAATTTCTGAGAATATATACATACATTTACATATATATATATTCGTAGCGGCCAAATTGAATATTTTGATAAGATTCGAACGTAGCGCAAAAACTGAAAAGTTAAAAACTGATTTTTAAGAAAATATTGCTAGCATTTGATTACATAGGTTCAAATTTTGTTTATGCATTTCGATTTATGTGTGTCTATATCTAAAAAAAAACTCCATATACATTTATACCTTTCAACCAAGTTGTAGATACTATTCAAAAAAGAAAGGAACTTGAGGCGCAATTAGCAATCAATCATGAAATTACTATACAAAATATTTGTACACTATACTATAACCATAATGTGCCTTACCAACTCAGATCTTAATAACGCTGTATCAAACATACATATATATTATGTACACATGTGCACATATAGCCAGCCACATGTGTAATTAATATATATACCTACATCAGTGCGTCTGTAACTGTATCTAGTAACAGCACTGATAGACTCTGTAATCTCGAAAGCTATTTGGCATAGCATTTGATCTATGCCACTTACAAAAAAAAAAAATCTAAATCAAAATGCAATCGGTATAGCCAGAAAAAAATCAAAGCGCGCATTTATTACATAATTATTTGTTATAAACGAAATAATTACAATAAAGCAAATGCAGTGTAACCAATAATAATACGAACGTTGATTCAATATGCCTTCTGGCAGCCAAATGGGATACGTGAAACATGCGTAACACGAAACGAACCCAACACAAATGTAAGCAAAACATTTCAAACGCATTGGGAAAACGATTTCACTGGACCATTGAGGCATGTTCTTTGTTCTCATATTCCGGAAAATGAACACGCACTGCGCCAACTTGAACAGTCGGAATAATTACGTTATTCAAGTAATGAGCAATTGCCATTTCGAATACTTATTGGCCAGAAAACAGATTGGGATTTTTTCTATTTATCAAATTGAATGTTTATTAATTGTCGTGAAGATTTATTTTGCTGTTTGGATCATGTTTAAAATATACTTATATGGATATGCGAAAACCTTAATAGTTACATTACCTTTTATGATTTAACTAAATAATATTAGAAATTTACATAAAAAAAGAGGAGTACAACCTTTCTATGTGATTCTCAGGAAACAGATTTTCGCCCTTAGCGGTACAGGAGAAGGAAGGGAGACTAATACGGAAAAGGTTCAGGGATTAAGTGATACCGAGCTAAAAATTAAATATGGTTCAGTTCGCTACATTATAAATATAAGTATAAGATCTTGATGGTACTTGAGGCTATGAAAGTCGTGTAGCAGGGCGACAGGTTAGAGAGGTCAGAGTAGTTTAGACAGATGAATACCTATACTTAATGGGTCAGAGATGCATCCTTCTTGACAGGCGCAAAACATAGGACTACTAAACAATATGGCTATATAAAAAGCGTCTGTGGAAAATGGGTTTTTGTATGGAAAACTCTTCTGATTTTAAAGATATCCTGACTTCATTTTTAAGAAACTCCAGAGCATATTAGAAAGGAGAGTTTAGTTTATTGTATTTATCAAAATAAAAGACACTGACTCTCAGGATTATAAAATTGGAGCAAAACTGCAGAGCTTTTGATTTCGTGTGCGACACAGTTGTCAAATTATGTAACTCACCTGACCTCTTCTTGCTGGTAGATCACCAGCGGCTGTTCCCTGATTAAGACAAATGTCCAACAACATGCTACATTGCCGACACAGAATCTTCGCCTGCCACCTCAGGGTGCCCCCAAAAAGAAGACAAAAGCAAAGCAATTTTTTGCTGTTGCTGAAGTGGTTTATAAATTATCTCCATCTCCATAGAACGCATAGTTCGTTCGTTTCTAATAATCTAAACAACAGAAAAAAAACTGAAAATCCAAAAAAAAAGAAAATGAACGCTGCAGCCCCTGCCGCTCGCCTCTACGGCTTGTGTGTATATATGTTTATTCAAATTCTTTAGGCGGATGCGGGACGAAGGCGCCGTAATCGGCAACGTGTGAAATGAGCCGAACAACTGCCTCGCCTCGGCGCTGGAGACTGGAGACTGGCGGCCCACTGCTCAATTGGAAACGTGCGCTGGACGCGTGCAGTGCTCATCGTGCTCATCGTGCGCTTCGTTATCGATTCTGATCATCCGAGCAGAGGAGCAGCAACAGCAGCAGCAGCAGCTATCCATAATTCAATATGCATCCTGCCTCACCGCACCAGCATCGCACGCGCCTCAACATAAACGCACCTGGAACAGGCACCGGACAAACGCAAACCACGCCGGATACCCTGAGCCCGCAGCAGCAGCATCATCAACACCATCATCATGGACAGCAGCAGCAGCAGCACACGGTGCAGATCAGCTCCACCACACATCCCTACCAGGGACTAAAAACCTGTAAGAACTAAGTATAAGCTCTCCAAGGAAACATATCCTTCAATTTCATTGAAACATCCTACACATAGGATTTATTGGCCAGGGCCAAAATTGTTTATTCAAATCAATGGTGTTACGCTTTGAACTGTGGCTTGATCACCAATCAGTCAATCAGTCAATAACTCAGTCAATCAGTGAGTGACTCAGTACATCCTTCAGTCAATCATATATATGTCTATAGATATAGCATTAAAATGGGCTTCGTCTAGTCTAGAGTTTAATCTTTTCGGATTTCTTTCGTGTGGTTCTTACGACTCTCACAGTACGGTTCAATCAGTAAGTCAACCAGTGGGCTTATCAATTTTATATAAATATGTTTATATATTACTTTATAAATAGTTCTATAGATATAGCATTCATGTGGACTTCGTCAAGTCTACAGCTTGATCTTTTGGGATTTCTTCCGTCCTGTTCTTGTGAGTCTCACAGTGAGTCGATCGCAAACTCTCTTACATACATATAAAGATTAATAGATATGTCATTCAAATGGGCTTGGAATAATCTTAAGTTTCTGCTTTATTTCGTTTGGCTCAAATCTCATTCTCTGAAGTTATGGTCTATATATTCGTCAAGTCTACAGTTTGATCTTTTGGGATTGCATCCGTTCTGCTCTGACAGTTCTTACAGTTTTCATAGTCCATCAGTTTATCAGTCATTCAGGATAAACTGTTTTAAATACATATCAAGATTTATAGATATGTATATCATTCGAATTGGCTTGGTTTTATCTTCAGTTTGATCCATAAAGATTTCTTCCGTCCGGCTCACAAAAATCTCGCTCCTTCTTCCTCTTCACAGTTATGATCTATATACTTGATTCTGATTCTGTTCAAATGCCTTGGTATCTATAATATTTGCTATGGAATATGGAGACTAATTTGTAGATTTGTAAATTTTTGGCCGCATTTCTCAGTGCATGTTGATCGTTTGTTTAGTTCATGGCTGACTAAAGATACAACTACAAAAGATACATATAGTTTTCGTATGTGCGCGATCTCATCCTAAATCTTCCACAAATTCGGTATTTATGTGAACGGAAAATCATAATTCAAACGGGCGGTAAAACGATTCGCTGTCCCGCAATGGTCGAAGATAAAAATGATTCATTAAATGTCGATGCCAGTTCCATATTGAATTGTATCGATCAGCTCGAGCGACCACCTATGAAGTATGCAATATAAACTGTGCGCCGACATGTAAAAATAAATAACAGACGCGTCGCGAGGCGAAGCACCGATCCGTATACGGATACGGGATATAAATTCGTATTGTCGAAACTTATAAGATAAACAAAAGCCCAACTGAAAATAACCGTGCTCCCCGTCTATAGACTGACTATTGGCTACCATTTACTCGTACTACATAAACATTCCAATTGGCCTGCCCTGGCCTGGCCTGGCCCCCGAGGCGATTGTTTAGCTACCTCTGGGCTGGGTAATAGTTCAAACTGCCAGCACTCGTTGAAATTTTAACCAAAACATAAACAATACGCACGATTACGGGCATATGTATGTATATACACATGTACTTAGGTGTTCATGTGTACAGATATGGGCCAGGGACTAATTTAGCAATAAACAAATGACTACTTATGTAGTTAGACACAATATGCCGACATACGCACCTCATGGCTCTTGAAGATCAAAAACTATTTGTTTTACCAATTGCTTTCAGCTTATTTTGCCTGTGGCCCTAAGAATTGGCCATAAAACTTCACTTAGTTTCAATTTTATTGCATGTACGCTCTGATCTCTGATCTTCTTTGAGATGCTGCACTTGTTATCTCCGTAATAAGCTCCGATTGATGGAGGTGAAATAAAAACGCGCTCTTCAGTTGCCCAAATGAGTGGCTCACTTGGCCAGCTCATATAACGAGGACAGCTTTTTGTAGCTGTTTTGCGGAGAGCCCAAGTAGTTAATTTCTGTTCTGCTTTAATTATATCCATATTAATAGAAACAATATTGTTGCTGCCATGTTTAATGGCCAAGTGTTTTGGCTGATTCCGTCTGATCTCTGGTCGTGCTGTGCCCGTTCTCATTAAAAATCAGTTGCTGTCAGTCTTCAGTTGAACAACAAACGGAAATCCGAGGCAGCATAAAACAACATTTGCGTTTTCCATTTGAACAGCAACAAGTGCCACAATGCACATATGGCAGACGGCACAACCCGCTCGTACCCCCTCGCTACCCCCTCGTCGTAATAGTCCCACGACAGCACGTCATGAAATGTGCCTTCAATTGATTTTCAATTGCTTGTGAAATTTTGCGATTAATGTTTGCCTCGCATGCTGTGGCTCCTTTCAACTTGTTTTTTTTCCAGCTGAGAACGATGAGATGGGCTGTGTGGAACTGCTGGCCACAGCCATATCGGTGCTGATCATGATTCTGACGTTTCCCTTCTCGGTGTTCATCTGCTTCAAGGTGGTCTCCGAGTACGAGCGTGCGGTCATCTTTCGCATGGGCCGGCTGCGCAGCGGTGGAGCCCGTGGTCCGGGCGTCTTCTTTGTGCTGCCCTGCGTGGACGACTATTATCCGGTGGATCTACGCACCGTCTCGTTCGATGTGCCGCCACAGGAGGTGCTGTCCAAGGACTCGGTGACTGTCACTGTCGATGCGGTCGTCTATTATCGCATCAGTGATCCACTCAAGGCTGTCATTCAGGTATCCAACTATAGTCACTCCACACGCCTGCTGGCTGCCACGACGCTGCGCAATGTGCTCGGCACACGGAACCTCTCCGAGCTGCTCACCGAACGCGAGACCATTTCGCATACCATGCAAATGTCCCTGGACGAGGCCACCGATCCCTGGGGCGTCAAGGTGGAACGTGTCGAAATGTAAGCAACAATAAAGAAAGGTTATCTCTGGCCTGCAGAAGTAGTAATACCCTTCTTAGAATATCGCTTAAAACCGAGCTTTATTGATTTGTAGTCCGCATTCATGGGGTTTTAAAATTCAGTTTGCAGCAAAAACGAAATGTTTATCCCACATAAAGAAATGTTACTCCTTATATAGAGCTGATTAAGATAATGGACCATAAGGCTGATCCCAATATAAGTGGTGTCTACAGCAGAAAGAAGGACCCATGCAAACTTTTATAATGACTGGGGGACTAGACTCAAAAACAAATTGCCAAATTCTTAGAAAATCGCTTTAAAAGAACAACTTTCTAAATATCTGACCATTTGAATATTGAGTAAAATGTTTCATATCGTTTTAGTAAGCTTTTTCTCTTTTTCAAAAAATATTTTCAAATTTTCAGCCAATCATTTTCTGCGTTTCAAACACAATTTTCCACATGTTAGAAAAAAAGCTGTGATTTATAACAAACAAAAATGTATTGAAGAAAATTTTATATAGAACAACTTTTTACTTTTCCAGACATTTGTCCCCGTTTTTAAAAAAGTTACGAATTGCTTTCAGAAATATATTTTTTAGAAACTATGTCGATTTAGGATCCTTTTCAAATCCGAATTTATACATTTATGGGCGATACCAGATTGTTTTGTATCTGAGTGTAGATTCGTGACAAATTTAGAGCACCCTCTCGCAAGTGCATAACAAGAGCTGGCATTGACTCGAGTTTGGTGGAGTTAAATAAATGGATTTGCATTTTACTCTCTTTACAATTCAGAAAGGACGTTTCGCTGCCCACCGCGCTACAAAGGGCGATGGCCGCCGAGGCGGAGGCTGCGCGGGAGGCGCGTGCCAAAGTGATTGCCGCCGAGGGCGAGATGAAGTCCTCGCGTGCACTCAAGGAAGCTTCAGAGATCATATCAGCCAGTCCGTCGGCATTGCAGCTGCGGTATCTGCAGACGCTGAGCAGCATCTCGGCGGAAAAGAATTCGACAATTATTTTCCCTTTGCCAATGGAGCTGCTGACGCCATTTCTGAACTCTTCCAACCAACTGGCGGCCAATGCCCATGCGCAGCTCCATAGGCACCAGCACCAGCATCATCAGTGACGCTCGATGTCGGTGCTGCAGCCGTACCTGGAGGCACTGGGTCGCTGCGAGCTGCGCCGGCAAATCGCTGGAGACAACAACATGGACGACGATGACGACATTGTTGGCTATTTGTTATAAGTGGAACCGCACGGGAAAGGTTTCCCTGTCCTGTGCCGATGTGTTCCCTGACGAAACAACAAACACTCCACAATGGATTTCATTTTTTTCCAAATGCTGTGTACTGGTTCTTGTCTGCTTGACGAGAGACGACTGGTTGGCCTTTATGTGGGAATCATAGCAATTATTTGTAAGTTATATTTTAGAAAAATCACTTTTTTTTAACATTATTTATTGAATTGTTTATAATTCTCTTAAGTTTATCAGCTTTTCTTGAACAAATTTTAACTGCTATATTCAAAATGTATTATTATTTTTTTTCAATACTCAGGCTCTTTTGTTTATGGCGATATGTTAAGTCAAATTTAAAACAAGAACCCAATATAGTTTTTAGGATATAAGTAGCCTCGATATAAACGTCTTAAATTGTGCATATAAAAGCAGGCAGCTCCTCAAAAATTCGTCAGTCTCTGATATATACTAAAACGAGTCGGGCGACTACAGACTACATTTTCCCAAAAATACATTTATTCGCAAGAGTTGTTTACAAACACTTCAAATTTTACCTTTTTTGCAACGCAGTTTACTTTGATAAACATATCATCAGCTTACCTAGAAAAATAGGAGGTTGTTCAAATAGTCTTATTTCACTGGAGTTTTAATCCACGAGACGTTCTGTTTTCTAAATATTTATATATATTTTGTAGCGAAAATAGTTGTGGCTTTGCAATACTTTGTATGCTAACAAACATTTTATTTTGAACATGGATAAAGGTTGCTATAATCGTCGGGTAAGTAAATCGGGAACTAATTAATGTTCGGCGGCATGCCGGAGGTCATCAAGTCCTGTTTCAATTTATCATGTGACTTGCAGACTAACAAGTCGAACGAGGCGCGCAAAGATCAGAACTGCTGCCAAATGGGTCGTGTGCACAAACCGGAAGATGATTGCCTTGTGTATTCGAAGGCAGGCAACAAATCGCGCATACACCTCCAAGCCATATACGATGATCGGTATTGGCCGCGACCTGAATGCGAAAAGTCAACGCAAACCTTGCTTTACGACTGCCCACGCTGCAACAGAGAGTCGACAGCTCAGCAGACCGACGGCTCAATAAGACAATTAAGCTACCAGCCCGATGGGCAATGCAGCTATCAGCGTTACAACAGGAACGATCCAACCGAGGACCTTCTTCTAAGTGACTATCGCAAACAGTACGGCAAGCAACCGCTACAGAAAACCAACGACGCGCTGCCCGAGGGCCAGACTGAAAGACGTCCCAAGCAATTGAGCTTCGAGCGGAACGACCAGAATGCTCGGCAGGATGGCACGGATATTCCCGTTTCGTCAGGTGCAGGCCAGCTGCCGAAACGTTACGAAAGGCCGTCTCGCTATCAGCCCACATACAACAGCGTGAACAAGGAGTTGCGAACGCCGTCTCAGCCAATGGAAGAACCGATTCCGCAGCGGTATCAGCGGTACAACGAACGCATGGAGCCGCCTGCTGAGCCAGTCGAGGGCCGCCTCCCCAGGGATTGTCAGAAGCAGTACAACAACTTTAAGACGTCACACAAGGAGCTGCCGACTCTGGCAACGGATGGACTCAGTCAAAGACGTTACAAGCAGCAGCACCAGCAGATGGAGGATAAGCACGAGCCGATGGAGAGACCCGATTTACCTGCCAAGGACCAGACAACACCTGGGGATCTGCGTCTGCAAAGGGATTATCGCTTGCAGTCTACCAACAACGGGGCCAAGGAGTTGCATGCTCCACTTCCGGCTACCGTGGACACCGCTGCAAAAGATTATTTCCGCAAGGAGTTGCCTATTCCATTAACGAAGGACTACATTCCAAAGCGTAATCCCAAGCAGGTAAATTTTCAATCAACCAAGGAAGGACCTGCTCCTACCCATCACAAGAATCATACAGGCTATCAGCGCACCTACAGCAATGTCGTTAAAGACGTGCCTTCACTACCAAATAAAGATGTGGATCCGAGATCTGAACGTGTGCCGGCATATGGCAATACCACCAAGCAGGATCCGCTGCAATCGCGCAATCAAACCAAATTTGTGGCACCCAGTAACCATTTGGACATTGACTACATGCCACAGTCCCAACAGCAGCAGCCGCAGACTAGACGTGCTCCGAAGTCTAGTCAATACCCTGGCTCTAGCGGAGATCGTGTGCTGTACAATAATGCAAGGTTTGCAACTGATTTGAGCGTGGAGCGTGGCAAAAAACGCGACAGCTTGGTTGATTTGCTCTACTATAAAAAGCCAACAAAATTTGACTACACTTCAACCGATTCCACTTCGGCTTTGATTCAAATGAACGAGGATATGGCAAGAATGTATGACCTGTACACTACGGACTCCGCCAGCACGCAACAGGCGCAGGGACGCAAGGATGGAATGAATGATCCGCCAAAGACCACAAAACACGAGCACCAACTGCCATCGCTGGGCTTGACCAGTCCCAGCAAAAATAGCCCATTGCCGCCCAACAAAAGCGAGAATGATGATGGCCCTACTATGATCGTGGATGGATTCAAGCTAAGCGCCAAGGATATGATCGATACCTTGGTGACAGCGCCAATGATACGCCGAGTACAGCGCATATATAGGGCCAATTTAGCTGAACAGATGCTGCTGGTGCAGGAACTCGACAGCATTCCAAAGTTGGTGAAAGAGACCCTGGAGAACGCCAGGAAGAACTAGATAGGCAACACCTTAAGCGGTTTACCCGTTCATGGACTTCGCTCCACGAACAGCAAAAACAGCTTACTCTACAGCAACAGAAATGTTTACTTAAAGTTTAAATAAATTATTGGTTATTTGTTAAGATTGTAAATACATTTCCTCGAAAACATTCCCTCAGTTTCAGTTGATCAAAAAAATGATGGGGCCTTCCTTATAAGTTCTTCCAAGAAAAATCTTTTATTTTAAACAAGCTTAGCGCTTACGAAATTTATCAATCTTCAGACTAATATGTTGTATGTTATGCTTTTGATTATCCGCAAAAGAAAAGCCGCATATGAAAAATGAAATTTTGACTTGCACACACAAAAAATTTATTAATATTTTATCAATGCAATAAAATATGTACTCGCCAATACGTATGTATGTTTGTTGTATAAAATGGCTTTTATAAAATGTATACAAAATAATTGTGACTTAATAATATACATATATACATTAGAAATGTGCGATACACTTAGATAAAAACTTTAAAATATGGATCGATTTAAATATACATAATGCATAGCATGTTGTAGGTCGAAATTACATAATATATATATATATATATATATATTTATATATATATGCATGCATATATATATATATTTATATATACATATAATATATGTATACATATTGTATTCATGCATGCATTTAATGAAATATGTAAATACTTTTTGGGATATACGGCGCTTAATGTCAACTCTATTTCTCTCAAGTGTTAAACACATTTTGCACAAAATGTCTATAATATACTGAATTTCCAATTCCGTTTAGGGGGCACTGCATTAATACATATTATAGGCAGACATATGGAATACCGCTAGTTATGCTTGGTACATTCGCATTCTCATAGATATTTTCCATGCTGGCGGAAAATAAATGGAATTCAGTGGGGGCATAGCTAAAAACTATAGTTGCCAAGTCATAATTGGCCGGAGCAGGGATTTCTAAGTAATAGCATATATAAGTACATGTATATATATATATATATATATATATATATATTTAAAAAAAATCCAATTTGCGTTGAAGCAAAATAATGGCCACTGCTGCGGAAATTAAAGCATAACTTAAAATAAGAAATCCCCAGTGCAAATGAATTTGATAGCACTTAAAAGATCTTCGCTAGACTCGGTGTGCGTCGAAAGGGATTCCACGAACTGGAGGATACGCTGCCCACGAAACGCGTCTTGGCGGAGGTCTTGAGCCGCAGCTTAGGCTTGGTGGTGGTGCTGGTGGGGCTGGAGGAGCCAGATGAAACGCCGGACGAGCTGGCAGCCGATAACGTTGATATGGAGCCTTTCGACGACAGTGGCTGCAATTAAATTGAAAATAAAACATAAACTAATACCAAGCAATCAGCGGCCAAACTCACCTTTAGATAGTTACGATCCATGGGCGTAATGACCTTAAGTTCCAGAGCTGCACCACATGATTGTATGAGCCGTACCACCTGCTGATGCGAGTACCACTTGACATCCATGCCCGCTATTTCCACAATAAAGTCGCCCTCCTTGATGCCGCCCAGCTACGAATGAATACGAAAGAGGCTCAGTTTGCTTCAGTCAATGATTGGAGCAGGGGCATACTCACATCCGCAAGTGAATTGATTTCCACATGGGCTATTATCACAGGCGCATCGCCGCGCACGTGAAAACCAAAATTCTCTAGCTCCTCCTTGTATAGACTGCAGCCCGCCTCGTGACTCTCATCGCCTCTGGGGCAGTGGCAATGGTAGCTGCTAGCATCATGATATATGGCCGAGCCCTTTTGCAGGCGCACACAACGCGGCGCTGTCCAATGGCGACGTGCAGAGAATATTGCAATGGGACCCAGTCGCTTAAAGGGATCTTCCACTTTGTACGATGTAAAGTCCGGACCCGTCAATGTCAGCGTAAACTTCGAGGATGCTGCAAACAATAATAGGGGAAAGGGTTTTCTTATCTAACTGTTAGACAACGCACAGCCCAAACCTTAAGAGACTAAGACGGAGTTACGGTAAATTCAACCTTCAAGTGTGAAAAACTTTGTTCAAAGTTTGCATGAATAAGATTAGAAACACAGACTACAATATATATTCCTGGACAGGCCCCAGCAGAGTGCTCGCGTAGCACAGAGGACTGTGCGTGGGTCAGCACGAAGTTAAGGGCTTAATTCCCCGTAAAGATGTGGTTTTGATTGATTATTACCTTCCACTGTGCGTTCAATCAGATCATAGCACTCCTCAATGTT